AATAAATAAATAAAATTATAAAAATATATATATATATATAATTGGTATTAATTTACTCTCCCACAAGAAGATAGATTTATTAAAAATTAAATAAAATTGATATTTCTTACTCTGGGAAAGAAGCATAATGTTTAGGGCTTTTTATTTACTAGGAACATCTTGAAGCTCTAAAAATTGCTTTTCTTGGCAAAATGAAAGCAAAAGCGCTTATACTCCCTCCCCCATATTCCTCCTTCTTTCTGAAACAATACAATTCAGTTATATTAGAGATAGAGGGGATTTATGAGGAAGTTTGCTTCACAGTCAGGTTGGGGGGTTGGGCAAGTAGAAGAACATGTAGTATTACCGTTCCTGAATATGCTTTATGTTTTTATCTCTGGTGAAATATTTCACTGGCTTATATTTTCTGGAACTATTTCAGCAGGGGCTGGGTTGATCTATAATTTTCTAAATGCATCATTTCTCTTTATTGTTTTTGTTTTATTTTTCTATGTCATGATTGTATAGGTGATTTTATTTCCCATGTCAACTTAATAAGCTAAAATTATGAAGTGTAGTAATATTTATAAAATCTTAAAACTGAGACAAATTACAATAAAAAGGATAAAGGTAAGGAAAGACGGGTGTAAAAAATGGAAGGAAAAACACAAACGAAAAAACAAACCAAATCAACATTTACTCGAGTTCTTCTCTTCTCCTTCATGGTGTGTCAGTCTATTCCCAGGATAGTGTTTATTTGCTGTGGCATTAAATGCTTGTACTACAGAAGCACAATTCAGAGGCTTGTGCTTCTGATCAGCAACTGCCTACATATGGACCACTTAGAAGCCAGGCTCAAATCTTAAAATAGTGTTTTCACTTACAATTTCATGTAAAGTAGTCTGCCTTACTTGAAAGTCATCTTTAATTGAATGTTTTTAACACTCAAAACTATGTAGCTCTGATTATTAAAATGTTACAATAAAAAAACTGACCTAGAGAATGCCTTAGGAAAAGTTGCAGTACCATCATTAACATACTAAGGTTCTGTGACTGCGGAATTAATTTCCTCAAAGTCATAGATAGGCTTTAGATAGTCTGCACTATTTCCTGCCCTCCTTTACCTCTGTTTACGCGCAGTTTTCTTTTCTTTTTTTTTTTGTTTTTTGTGAGGAAGATCAGCCCTGAGCTAACAACCCTGCTAATCCTCCTCTTTTTGCTGAGGAAGACCGGCTCTGGGCTAACATCTATTGCCAATCCTCCTCCTTTTTTTCCCCAAAGCACCAGTAGATAGTTGTATGTCATAGTTGCACATCCTTCTAGTTGCTGTACGTGGGACATGGCCTCAGCATGGCCGGAGAAGCGGTGCGTCGGTGCGTGCCCAGGATCTGAACCTGGGCTGCCAGTAGCGGAGCCCGCGCACTTAACCACTAAGCCACGGGGCCGGCCCTACACACAGTTTTCAATGAAGGTACATTTTTCAAAGGAGGCATTGTATAGCTTTCATATGCTTTTTAAGAAGGATAATACTGCTTTAATATCTGAAAGTTGCTATGAATGCTTCCTAGAGTATCAACCTAATTGGAGATCTTTGCTTGGAAAACATTGTCCCTCCAAGCAAGTTTCAATGGGATAAATGTCCTGGTGAGAAATCCTGTTTTTAGGGTACTTTCAAAACAAGCACAACTCTATGTAGATCTAGCCAGCTAACAAGAAACACCAGTTAGCCATTTATCCCATGTCCTCAAGGTTGTCAGATACTCCAGAGGTTTGGGGACATCTAAGATCTGTTCGATAAACTAACGTGTGACATGAACTCAGTCAGCATTTACTGGGCATTTACCAGGTACAGTGCTAGGAATATGAATAGGATATGTTTCCTCTCCTTGAGGGCTGCATCAGTTTACCTCAGAAATATGGTAAATACTGTACCGACAATCTACAAAACTAGCATAGAGGACTGAGAGCTGGTTGGAGTAACCCCTGATGTTTTATGACTGTAGAATTCACCACACACATAGCTTAAGTTATAATGTTCGTACTACCTGGTTTCTCAGATTCTTTCCTCTTCTTTAATTAGAATGATCAAAGCAAGTTTTTGGTGACAAACAGTAGTGGACATATTTGATTTCTTTATTGGTGAGAGCCAGGTCATTTAGCAGTGTCTGTATCCAAAGACCTATTGTGGGGGATAGAATTGACCCAAACATGGCCCACATTCCAGTGTGCTTATAATTACTAGCTAGTGGAGAAACAATGGTGTACACAAATAACAGTAGTGTAGACAAATCTTGACTCTTACATGGTGGAGAAGCATGAGTGAGTGCTATAGACTTACAGGAAGCTTTAGACTTATACCACTCAAAAATCAGTTGTTTCTCTAAAATCCAAACTTCATTAAATTTAAATATAGCTTTAAGACTTTAGCATTGAATTGAAACGTTTTGCTTGAGTTTAATTAGTCTCACAGACTATCTTAGAAGCTATAATTGCTGAAAGTGTACTGTCTCCCTTTGAACTCAAAAATTAATGCTGGTGTAGTTAGAATGACAAATATTCTGACTAATAAACTTCAGAGCTAAAAATGTGTAAATATGAAGAATGTTAACTCTGAAGATTGAGACTTTTAATAATATTGTATAATATTAATAGCACTGTTTTAAGCACTTTTACATATATTGATTCATTTAATCCTCACAAAACTCTGCGAGTAGTTACTATTAAGGATGTTCATTGTGGAGCAAATTACAGTCCCACATGCAAATATTCTTGATCCCTCTATGTGCCAGGCCCTGTCTAGATGCTGGAATGCATTTGTGAGAAAGACAGACTTCCTGTCCTCATGGGCTTACATGTTGGTAGGAGGATAGACAAAAATCAGCTAAAGAAATACTCATAAAACGTATTAAAAGGTTAATACAAGTGATATGAAGACAAATTAAAACAGGATAAAGGGATAGAGAATTGAGGGAGTGCTTAGCGTGGTCAGAGAAGTCTTTTTGAAGTGGGGATATTTGAACAGAGACCAGAATGAAGTCGGAGAACCACAGACTGGTTGAGGAGCATTTCAGGCAGACAGAATGAGTGGGAAAAGAACTTAAAACGGGAATGTGCGTGAGGACTAGTAAGGAAGCCATTATAGCTAGAGCTGAAGGAGGGATGGAGGGGGCATGTGGCAGGAAAGGAGACTGCAAGGTAGCCATGGGCAACATCTTGTAGAGTTCCTTTCTGTATGTAGGGTAAGAACTTCATATTATCTATGTGTGATAGGAGGCCACTGGAGGGTTTTAAAAAGGGAATGATGGCTGATTTATGTTTAGAGGGATGATTCTGGCTGCTCTGTAGAGAAGAAAACATAGCGATATAGCAGTGGAAGCAGAGAGACAGGTTATTGGGCTTTTGTCATAATTCAGGCAAGAGCTGATGATGGTCCCTTAGACTAGGATTGTCGTGGTGAGGTGATGAGAGGTGACTGACTTGTTTGAAAGTAGACCTAGCAGAATTTGTTGACAGGATGGATGACTGGGTGTGGGAGAAAGCAAGGAGTCAAGGATGACTCTAAGGTTTTTGGATTGAGTCAACGGTGGTGCCATTTATTGAGCTGTGAGTTGGGGGAGGATTACATTTAGGAGAAAATCAAAAATTCTGTTTTTGATTAAGATCGAGATGGCTATAAGACATCTTAAGTGGAACTGTTGAATAGGTAATTAAATATACAGGTTGAGTGCCTGAAAGAGGATAGGGTTGGAGATGTAAATTTAGGAGTTAGCAGCCTCTCTATAGTGTAGAAAGTATAGAGTATGGAGAGAGGTGAAGAGATCTGAGGAGCTGGGGCACTCTAAAGGCCAGCTAGAACAAGGGTATCCCCGAAAGGAGAATGTGTCAGATGCTTCTGAGAAAGCTAATAAGATGAGGACAGAGAAGTGCCCCTGGGATTCATCTGTCTGGAAGTCCTTGGTGGCCTCGACAAGAGCAATTGTAGTGGAGACGTTGACATAAAAGGCTGGAATGATTTCAGGAGATTGGACAGTGAGGAAGAGAAGTGTGCTATGAAAGGGAGCAGAGAACCAGGGTGATGAGAGGGAGGGACAGGGACATGTAATCAAGGAAGGATTTTCTTTACTTTTGATTTTAGATGAGAAATAATTCTAATGTGTTAGTATGCTCTTGGGAGTGATCTTCATAATCATCAAACACTTAGTGACCTTCTATGTGACGAGTGACATCTAAGGTTTGATAGGATAATCTTTCCGATACCTGTATGTGTTTTGTGGAATATTTGAGTTATAAAATTGTAGAGTGTAGTGGAAAGAGTTCAGGCTGGGCAGGCAGCCAGCCCCGGAATTATATTCTGGTCCTTCGGCTACTAACCAGGTGATTTTGAGGGACTTACCTGACCTCTCTGAGCCTGTTTCCTAATCTGCAAAATGATAGCTATTTTAAGTTTTTAAAAGATATCAGTATGATAATGGACTGCACTGCCTAGCACCCCCTCGGTAGCCTTTAGAGACAGTTTTTCCTTTGATGTTGGAATATTGGTCATTGTATATTATTGGAAAGGTCATCTCAACTTGCTAGTCAAAGTATGGTCCCTAGACCAACAGAATTAACATCAGCTGGGAATTTGTTAGAAATGCAGAATATCAGGCCCCACACGAGATTTGTGGGATCACAACAGATGTATTTTCAACAAGAAGCCCAGATGATTTGTATGCACATTAAAGTTTGAAAAGCCACTATCTAGAAAACAAGTGTCTGCCTGCCCTGTTTTTTCAGGTGTTCATGGAAGAAGGTAACAGTTTCCACATTCTAACATGCTTGCAATCTAAAAGTATTTTTTATACCTAGCCTTGTTGTTTATAAATGTTTCTGTATATGTAGGTATATGACGCATAACTGTGATGTATTATTATATAGCATCTTCTGTGTACTCATGACAGTGTACAAAATGAAAACTCTACATATGTGATGACTTTGTCTTTTTTAATTGTTGAAATATAGATAATTAGGAAAGTTGATAAGCAGACTGCATTACTGGATGCAGATGATCCTGTGTCACAACTCCATAAATGTGCATTTTACCTTAAGGATACAGAAAGAATGTACTTGTGCCTTTCTCAAGAAAGAATAATCCAGTTTCAGGTATGTTTTTAGGTTACTGGTAAAATCTAAAATGTGCAGACTTTTAGGTTAGCAGCATACAGAAACATGAAACTCGGTTAATATTAATTGTAACCAAATACACGAACCTGTGTTCAGAGCCTTATCTCAAGTCCAAGGGTCGTTAACTCATATGGTCCTCAGACGTGGTGGTCGTCCCACCTCAGGAAAGAACTCAAAACTGTGAAAATATTTTCAGAGAAGCAGTTAATATCTAATTCTGGGGAACAAAAAGCCCCTTAGATTATCCCAAAGTAGATTTTGGGCGTTCAGTGAATCCCCTGAAATTGTGTGCAGACATTGTGTATAGATGCATTATGTTTAGGGGGAGGGTTCATAACTCTCATCACATGTAAATTGGGGTCTTCCAAGATAGTAATGATGACAAGTTTCAAAAGCTAATTTTTAACCACGTTTACTCAGAAGGCTTTCGTGAGGATATTTAGGACAAGGGCAGATGGTTTAATAGGATAGTTACATTTTCATGTGAAGCTCGTTTATAAACAGCTGGAGACCTGTTCCGGAGCAATGGTCACACAAAGCCCTTCTCCTCAGCTCAGCACTGATGGACTGGTCTAGGTGTTTTAAGGTGGAGGTAGGGGATTGCCAGTTCACATCTTGGTTCCCTCTTGCTGAAAGTATAGGCGTTTCCTGCTGTTCTCTAAGCATGAGGGGCTCCCATTCTCTCTTTCTTAGGGCTGCCTAAACGAGTTTTAAATAGCTATTAACATCACAGATACTGATCTTTTATTAAAGAAATTATATAGGTACTATTGTACCTTTAAGTGGTTATTCTGAAAGCTATTGTTAGTTATTTAATATGTCACTGAAATATTTCTTATTATAATAAAGACTGCTGTATGTGAGGTTTCCACGTTAATATTCTGTTTGTGTTTATTTAGGGATAGGCAAAGCACCATGCTTGGGAAGTTGATAAATTTTTTTTAAATTCTTCCCATATTAACTCCAGTCTATGAGCGTTTTGCTAGTGCCTTTGAGTCAGTTCCCACTCCTGGCAACCCTGTGTGCAGCAGAGCGGAAGCCTGCCCAGGCTTTTGCACCATCCTCTCCCCTTCTGGCACTGTATCAGATAGTGCTCCACTGCTGTTCACAGGGTTTTCATGGCCAGTTTTTTCGAAGTGGGAGGCCAGGTCCTCTTTTCCGGTCTGTCTTAGTCTGGAAGCTCCACTGAAACCTGTCCACCATGGATGACCCTGCTGGTATTTGAAATACCGATGGCATAGCTTTCAGCATCACAGCAGCATGCAGCCACCACAGTATGACAACCAACAGACGGGTGGTGTGGTTCCCTGACCAGAAATGAGCACTAGGCCACGGTGGTGAAAGCGCCGAATCTTAACCGCTAACTAGATAGAGCACCAGGGCTGGCGACTGTGAGTGTTACTTTGTTAAAATTGTCTTAGACTGCATTGTATATAAAACTCAATTTCTAAACATTCTTTCCTCATAAGGCCACTCCATGCCCAAAAGAACCAAATAAAGAGATGATAAATGATGGAGCTTCCTGGACAATCATTAGTACGGATAAGGCAGAGTATACGTTTTATGAGGGGATGGGCCCTGTCCTTGCCCCAGTCACGCCGGTGCCTGTCGTAGAAAGTCTTCAGGTGAGACCACTTAGTCACAAGTTGACTTTTAGCTCTTTGCAACTGCTGTTAGATATGACTTGGCATAATTTTATTTCACAATAATTTTGATTTTTCTCCAAATTGTGTGATTTGGGGATTTTGTTATACATCATTCATTGATTAAAAAATGAAAATAGGAGGAACATACTTTTATGCAAAAAAATTTAAATTTAAATCAACTTGTATGTTATCTTGAGATGTTTTTAGCTCACTTTGTCTTTATAATCATGTCATTTAAAAGAAGCCTTTTATCTGTTTTTTCACAAATGACAGTCAAATGAGAAACTAATCTGCGTATTTTAATGAACAATGAAAAGTTTTCTCAATGTTCTAATTTTCTGTGAATTGCAGTTGAATGGCGGTGGGGACGTAGCAATGCTTGAACTTACGGGACAAAATTTCACTCCAAATTTACGAGTGTGGTTTGGGGATGTAGAAGCTGAAACTATGTACAGGTACTTGATAAAACTTTCTATGTCATCCAGAGTTTTTGATGGGGGTGGGTACATGAGATTCCTTCCTAATACTGATTGTAATGTATTAAGCAATCTTGTTTTAAGTTTCAGTTCTAAACTTTGCCTTGCTCTTAAGTAATTTATATTTCCTTCTCAGATGTGGAGAGAGTATGCTCTGTGTTGTCCCAGACATTTCTGCATTCCGAGAAGGTTGGAGATGGGTCCGACAGCCAGTCCAGGTTCCAGTAACTTTGGTCCGTAATGATGGAATCATTTATTCCACCAGCCTTACCTTTACCTACACACCAGAACCAGGGCCACGGCCACATTGCAGTGCTGCGGGAGCAATCCTTCGAGCCAACTCAAGCCAAGTGCCCCCTAATGAATCAAACACAAACAGCGAGGGAAGTTACACAAACGTCAGCACAAATTCAACCAGTGTCACATCATCTACAGCAACAGTGGTGTCCTAACTACCGTCTTTTTGCTAGGACTTAAACTGACTGGAGTGTGGCGAAATGTTGACAAAAAAACGAAAGAGAAAAAAGTGAACAATCTTGTGGTTTCTTGGGAAAACTTTTCATACCAGGTGATACTATTCGAAAACCCCATTACCTGCAAGTGCTGATTTGAAGTGCAGAAGCCACAGTAAAACAAAAAAACCCATCAAAATGTACAAACTATTGGAAATCGGGTTTTTTTCACCTGTTACTTTTGGTTCGTTTTTGTTTGGTTTTGTTTAAATGGCCAAGAAATAGAGATGTGGCTGGAATAAAAGTTAATCAAACTAGAAGACACAAATCTAACATAGTTTTTATGGACCAAGGAACTTGTATAAGCTTTAGTAAAGGTACATTTTCACCATACCTTTTTTATATCACAGTATATAGTACACCTTTGTTACCAAATAGGTTGTTCTCTTCCCCGCCCCTCTGTGAGCTTTTGCTCTTTAAGTACATTCAGGTTCCAAGCCTGACCATGCTTGTTTAAGTACCATACTCTTCCAGGTTTTCTTGGTCTAAGGCTGGAACTGTAATTTTTATTTTATTTTTTTTTTTAAAGCTGAAGTCTTATGACTTTTCATGAGTTGAAATTGTTTGGATTTCAGCAAGTCAAATCTTGTAAAGGCCTGCATATTTTTTTTAAGATTATATGAAGTCTGTGCAAAAGCTTTAAAAAAATGCCTCTGCCTTGCCTGCAATACACGCAATGTACGTTAACTTAGTCTCTATTCTCAGACACTGTTGGTAGTTATTTCCATGTTCTCCTTTTTTAAAAAATATGTATTTATAGTGGTAATCCAAGAGGTTCTAACATTTACATGGAATTAAATGTGGCCATTTAGTCATTAATAAGTCAATGGCACAGGACATGTTGGTATTTGAGGTGTTCTCTCCCCATTTCCCATGCATAAATGTGTCTACATTTTCCAGAATTTGTTCAGGTTTTTCCCCTTCCTAATCTTGTACATAACTTGTATTATGTGTAAGTTAAACATTTTATTTTGAACGTGTAATGTTCCCAGTGATTTCATTCAACAGGGTGTTTTCTGCCTTGTTGGCGTATGACTAAAAAATATCATGAGAAGTATTTGCTACCAGTTGGTAGATGGTGCCCTTATTGTATAATGAGGAAAATCTCAGCAAGAGCACGTTTTTTTTACTTTTGTTTTTTGGTAGCCTAGGCCAAAACTTCATTGTAACCTTAAAACATGACGCTTTTATTAGATGACCAACTAAAGTAGCTGGAAGACAGTACTTTAGAAACAGATAGTTGTGAGATTATAAAAATGCAAGTGTAACTTATCTTTCCATTTCTCTCCCTGCGGTTTTTTGTTTTCTCTTCCCCAGTACTGAGCATCTTCACAACTGTCTCCTACTCAGAAAACATTTCTTTTCCATTCAGTTAAGATTTCATTGCATTCAGGGTTATGTGTTGGCCGTGCATGCCAGGCTCACCAGTTTTACATGGCTTCCATTCCTGCACTTTGGTTATGCCTTTGTTCAGTTTCTCAGAAATTGCAGCAGACTCATTGGGCGACATTTAGTACAGGAACTACGTGTGTCATGTCATAGTTTAGTAATACAATCATCCTTCTTAGAGTAAAAACTACCTCTAGATTGTGGTAAGCTTTTACTGTCCCATAAAACAGGAGCCACAAGTACCTTATGAATGCAAAACTGTTAACTTCCTGCAGTGTTTCCATACAGAACATTGTCTTTCTGGTGTCCTGGGCTGTTTTGAAAAAGTTTCCATAGGTAGCCTTTTTAAACCTCATTATAAGTAGCTTTTTTTTTTTTTTCGGCTTTGCTATCTCCATCACTTATTCTTTTGCTCAGACTATGCCATTGTAAATACAATTCCTAATGTCCTTAAATCACTTTTTCCTCAGTTTTCAAGGGGGAAGTCATTTGTAAAACATGTTAATGGTTAAATCAAAGTCATTGTGGTTTTCTCTTACTGCAAGCCTTTTTGATTACTCACAGGCTGCATTATACTATAGATAGCCTTCTCTCTTCAGATCTGCTCCAGTCACTAGCTTCTCTCTTGTAAGCTACTCCTGCCTCACTCTTTAAATCTGTTTCAGTGATCAAGGGCAGAATTCATTGTGGCCTTATCTTTCTTTGTTTTAACTGTTTACTGGCTTTTTCTTGCAAACTTGCTTATTTCTGAGTAGTATTTATTCTTCTTTCTGTTGAGTCATGGTGTTTTTGTTCAGAGCGTGGAAATGTTTTCAGTGCTGCTTTACTTTTAATGGGCCACAAGTTTCCTCCACTTCCCAGGTTTGGTATTTAGTTACAAAATTCTATTAAATTAACTGATAACAGAGGAGATGCTTTTAAAGAACAAACTATTCCTTACCCAGCTTTGCAACTCAAAGTAATTTTTCAAGTTTATGACTTTATTAAAATGAAGTTTTGCTTTTTTACAGTTTAACTATATCTTATTTTGGCTCTTTATTTCTTTTAATAAGAAAATTGAAATGTTAGACTGTAAATCCTTTCCGTGTTTGTTTGTTTTTTAAGTCTAAGAATGTACTTACACAGACATTGCCCCTGCTATTTTATGCCATTCTACATACCACAAACTAAAGACTAAAATGATTTGTCTGTTGTAGCGTATTGTTTAGCAGTAATTCTTTTGTCAGCTGCTTACAAAAAGTCTTTCATGGATTTGTGAATCATTTTCAGTGTATAATTTAGAGGATCTTTGTCCTCTGGTTATAGTAGAACATGGCCCCTCCCCCCAATGGTGGCATTTTTAGAGATGCTGGTCATTTTCCCTCATAAAGACTCTCTCAGAATGGTAACCATTTCAGTTAAAGTAGAGTACATTCAAGTGTTTTGGTTTTTTAAATTCTGTTTTAAAAGTATCTTATGCTCTCATGATCCTATGCAATTTCTAAAAATATGCATTAGAAGCTGAGTCTGATCCAATGTAGTTCAATTGAATTGATCACATAGATTGGCTTTAAATGCAAAATGCCCTTTTTATTTTGAATGATTTTTAGAGTTCAACACTAGTATAATATTTAATCTATTGCTGACTTTTCTTAAACTGTGGCAACTAAAGGCATCCTCGTATATGTATTAGTGAAATATTTGTCACTCTTACTGCACAGACTTATTTGTAATCATAACTGGTTAGTTTTTTGGTTTTTTAATGAAACTGGTACCATCTCTGCCCTCAGAGAAAATTTGCAATGCAGTTTTTGAGAACTAAACTAGTCATGTTTAACCAGATAATCCGTGGTGGGGAGGGGTTCCTTTTTGAAACAAAATGCTGTTCAATTATTAACCAAGTTACTTATTTTTGGTTTCAAAAGCAGCTGTTTCTGATGAGTACTGAACAAATGTGTGTAATTTTCTGTGCCAGACTTTTGACTTTGTTTTCAAGCACTGTAATGTGGGATGGATGGTTAGAAACAATAATATATTAGGGTTTCTATTTAACCCTTTCAGGACTGAACTGTATCTCCTTTTATTAATTTTTCCCTGTGTTGTGATAAATGTTTGCCAGCATTCAGTACTGTGTTGGTCCGGATGTAGGTTTATATGCTCATTTTTAGCTTATTTCTTGTACCTTGCAGCATGCTCTACACATTCAGTCCTTAAGGGGTTTATTTTACAAACTGTGCGCCTGTAAGGTTTATTAGCAATAAGATAGAAAATTGAGCAAGTTTATACCATAATTTTGTAGAAAAAAGAATCTGCTCAGTTCCATATTTCATCCATGAGAAACCTGCAATATGGGCAGTTTCAAGGAATAAATAAAAAGGAAATGTAAACCATTGTAAAAGTCTTCTGTTGGATGTGCCTGATGCATGTATTATCGTCTTTGATTTCAGAATACTTCATAAAGATAAAATTAAATTCCATACTACAGTTCGTGTATTTACAATCTTACCTTGTTATCTGCATCACATCAGAGTGATAGCTATGCTAATTTCCTTTCCAATGTTTTTAACCGCATAGTGCTTTAAAGAGTTATGGGTTTTTTTCTCCTTTGTAAATGGGAAAATAGGCTTTGTCACTCAAGGGGCATATTTCCCAATTCAGGCATATTTCAAACTAATCTCAACAAAATTGGAGAGTATTATTTAGCAATAGCTTATTTTTCCATTATAAGGTTGTCGTTTGGTCTGGTGTACAAAAGAACATGTAATGGTTTGTGCTTTTTGGTGGGGGCTCCTGATCAGAAAGAGAGCATAACTTTGTTTAATAGAGAAAGAGAAAGTAAAAGGGAGAAGTTACGTATTTTTCAAATCATAGCACATTCATTTCTTATCTGACCTCCCCAAAAAGAAAAAAATTTAAGCTTATCAGGATTTTGCTAAAGACAGCTTGCTCTAAAAATAATGATTGTTAAATAAATAAGAAACAATTTAGTTGGAATTTGAATTATGAGGCCTTTAAAGGCTGACGATTGATAGTGGTTACTTGATTTAGAATTTAGAAGAGAATAATAAGCTTGTGCCCCTTGCTACAAATAGTACATGATCACTTTCTGAGCAATCTTACGAAAGATCCGTAAGTATGTTTCCTTTTTTTTGGTCATCAAACACCTAGATGGTTGCCAGTTATAGAGATGCATAGGGCAAGCTGCATCAAGTTGTAGTGATGAGTGATCACAGAAGGAAGTCCTCTCCTTAAAAAAAATCTGGAAAGAGACACTAAAAAGAAACCCTAAAAAAAGTTTAGTGCTGGAAAACAATGAGGGAGACAGATTAAGTTGATGTATATAACGTACAAATGAGGTGATGCATCTTCACCTACGGGTTAGAGCCTAACTTAAGGCCAAGAGAGCTGTGTGCCACAGGCTCTGTCAGGACCTGTAAGACTGGACAATTAAACACACAGTTCTTTGTATTAAGGATAAGGTCGTTTGTGTGCCTGGCACATAGGTGTTCAATAAATAGTGTAGTGAAAGGTATTATGCACACATATGTAGAAATCACGACTCATCTTGGTTTAGGCAGATAAATATTCCCTAACACAGAAAAGGAACACGGTTTTATCTACAACAAGAAACATTCTAAACACAAATAGGTTATTTTATAGTTGTTGGAATTTACAGAATGTTTTGCTTTGAGGAAGTGGCACTTTAAAATGTGGTATTCTATGAAAACTCTTAAATGGTAAGTGAAGTTTAGATGTGTGTCAAGTTCTTTCTAGCATAATGATTGTAGTCTCTACTTTTCATCTCCTTATATTTCACTACCCTACTCATTCAGTACAGTCAATCAAACATGGAGGCCAGTCATTGCTGGTATCTTTACCTGTTGATAATTTCTACTGGTGCTAGACAAAGTAGGGTCGCTAGTACTTATTTAAATCCCAAACTATCAATCCAGAAACGCCCCTGACCTTCTTCATATAAAGGAGTGAAGCATGTGACTAGATTATTCCCACAGTGGCCTCCTGAGCTGTCTTGGACGGCTGTTCTTTTTTCCTAGAACTAACTTTTCTCCCTGTAAGGCTGCTCTCTTTGTTCTTCCTCACCACGCAACAAAAAATTAGTGGTTCTGCTGTTCTGCTCCTTAAACCATCACAACTACGTTCCTTATATGGCATTCAGATATTTAGATGATATAATGAAAAGTGTTGGAAAAAATATAATTATGACTTTGAGGACAATAATTGTGACTTAATCCTAGAGATTGGCTCCAAGAGTTGTCAGCTGGTTAGATTCCAAAGTTGCAAATGGTGTGATCTTTGGGAAGAACTTCAGCTGAAGGATAATGGACTATGCAAGGATTTGCTAAGAAGCGTGAATATCCAGCCCTGTTATTTCTGGGTAGTGCCAAAGGTTAGAATTAGTTAAGACACAACTAGAAATTTTTAAATGGCCAGTAACATTCCAGGCTCTAGGCTCAGTCAAGGTGTGGCCATTTCCTGAAAATTTCTGCTAGAGTCTTGTCTTAGTCTGCTCAGGCTGCTGTAAAAAAAGACCATAGACTGGGTGGCTTAAACAACAGAAATTGATTTTCTCACAGTTGTGAAGGCAGGAAGTCTGAGATGCCAGTGTGGTCAGGTTCTGGCGAGGACTCGTACTGGCTTGCAGACAGCCACCTTCTTGCCATGTGTTCACGTGGCGCAGAGAAGGAGAGATCTCTGTCTCTTCTTAGGGCCACGGTCCTTTCCGACTAGGGCCCCACTCTTATGACTTCATTTAACCTTAATTACCTCCTAAAGGCCCTATCTCCAGATACAGTCACGTTGGGAGTTAGGGCTTCAACATAGATTTTGGTGGGGGACACAATTCGGTCCATAGCAGGGCTCTTCCTAAAAACTTTCTAGATTACGTTTAAATGATATATTGAGTGTCCATCTATATGATGGTATTTGAGTTTCCTGCATTTTAAGTCCTGGTTGGGGTTTCTCAATAGTTAGCTAAGATGATGAATGGATTTGGGCTGAGGGACAAGGAGAGAAGCAAGATTGAAGGAGAAGTCACTTCGGCCACTTGTAAATTGTTTTATGGCCATTTAATCCTCACCACAACCCTATGAGCTAATGTGACTGTTTTAGAGATGAAGAGACAGGCTCAGGATTTGCCCAAAGTCATATGTTAAATTTAGCAGAGCTGAGATTCACATGTGGACCCAGGTGGCCCAGAGTCATGCTCTTAAGTGCTACACTAGACTTAAGTCACAGTTATTAAAGGAGCAAGGGACTAGAGTTACTAGGGAGTGGTTCTGTGACAAGTTTTTTCTTCTTAAGGAACTTCATAGGGAACAGCCATTCTATTTCAATCCTCACATTTTACCATTGGGAAAAAAGGAGCCCTAGAGAAGTTTTTAAAAGCCAAATGTGATTATGGATTGAAAATGCTTTGTTAACTTGAAAGTGCTATCCAATTGCCAGTTGTTTGTTTTTTCTTATCATTATTTTAGTGCCCTGACCTCTTGGCTAATGTTCTTAGTTCCCCTAGCCAAGCCTTACACATAAATATGTGCTAAATTACACAACTCTAGAGAGGAGCATCCTGGACACTTGAAAGCATTTTTCATCTTCCAGGTGAAGATAATGGATCTTCATCTCTTAATAGATCTAACAGCCAGTTCTAACTTCAGGTGAGTTTCTGGACCTCATATGTTGGCTTTAGGAAGACCGGAACTCAAGAGTATAATGACCTGAGTG